GGGGGGGAGTCGTCGCTTGTTACGAGCCTTTTTATTCTCCATCCTGGAGGAATAAACTAATTAATGCTCTATTACTCTAACGGGGCGCGAGAGCAGACGCGCTTCACGAGTTGACATTTATCACTTGGGTCGCCTCGAGCCTGAGCGGTGTGCGCCTCCCTATCCTCCTCACCGGCAGAACAACGCACAGTCGCAACGGAAGAACACAAGCAGCACAGGGCAAACCCAAGAAAAACCTGGTTCTCACGGAGACCTCATTGTGACCTCTTTATGACTTGACTTTATGACTTGTGACCTCACAAGTGCAAAAATAGTGACCTCAGAGGTCACAATGAGGTCTTCGTGAGAAAAACGTTTTCCTTGCGTGAGGGCTGAGGAATTGAAGGCATTGGAAGGAATGAGGAAATGACCGAACGGGTTCGATTGCCGACTTTTCCGCGTAGGCGCGGCCGGATCGGCGCCCGTGGGCGGCCTGTGCGGTGGCGGGCGGCTGGCGTTGGCTCCCTTGGCGCCCCTTGCCCTTTCCCGCCCGCACGCGCGCGACCCGATACAAGCCCGGCGGGGGAGTTTTGTTAACCCCATCTCGTGCAGCCGAGTGAATGCGCCCCCGCGCGACAAAGAGAATACACGTGATGGCTGCAAAATGACTCCACTTTGGTGTTTGGTGCCTTCGTGAAAGATTAAAGTAAGGCAGTTTGGAGAAGGCTTAAGCCTCCCCCCTCCCTACCCCGGCCTCAGCCTCCTCCTCCTTCCAGCCGGGCCCCCGGTCGGGGATATAGCGTAAACCTCACGCCGGCGTGCCGCCCCCGCCCGCCAAAGTTTGGAGTCGTCGAATAATTATTTAAAACATTGATTTCGTGCCGAGATTCAAGAGAGAGGGCGCAACAGCAGCAACGGGTGTGGGAGGTGCGCGAGCAGCATCGACCCAATTACAATACGCGAACCTTCTGTATGAACACGTTGCATTTCGTGTATTTTAATTGGGAAAAATAATAAGTGATGTTATAAAGTACCATTGTAATAATGACACAGTGTCACATATCTACATTTTGCTGTTGTGACCTCCGTGTGATTTATCAATAAATTAGTATCACTGAACTTGTTCCCGTGAAACCCTCTTCATATGTGGTACATGCGAGTTCTAGGTATGTTTCATACATGTACACCATACGAAACATATGTTACTTATATGTCACCTGCACTTGCCGTACGTTTTGGTAACATACGTGTGTCAGACGTTCATATGTTACATATATAGTTCTTGGTCACATGTATGGCTGACTTTACATATATGCGTCGTTGGTGGATTTCCGGCACATATGGCATAGGGCTCATGTAGGGAACACCCGTTTCGTCGTTATGTACATACATGCCTTATACGAGTCGACATACCAATCCCATGTATGACAGAAATGTAACTAGTGGCACATGTGTGATTATAAACACTTAGGATTAGTGGGAAATCAGTTGGTCAAATATGTGATTAAACCGCTAAAAGGTTAATGAAGCATAGAACAGGATGAACATATGTTGTCTATGATATCATGAAAATGTGTCAATAACGTTAGAAGATGTAAGGCATAGAAGGCATACGTTGCACAGTGACGGTGACGATGGCAGAACAGGCGAAAACATACATTGCAATCTGCCTACATGTGTGTTTCATACATGTACCATATATAGTGTACGTATGTAGCTTAAGACCGTACATCTGCGCAAACCGCACAAGAGCGGCACGTTGGTCTAGTGGTCAGCACACCGGGTTAGCAATCCAAAGGATCCGGGTTCGATTCTCCACAACATCGGTTTCAAAGTAAGTTTTCACGTAAAATTGGTTCTATGTGTCAATGTGTATGTTCTAAAACGTGTTAAACTCAACATTGACTGATTAAATAATCAATTTTTGGTGGCAAAGGGGGTGAGGGGTGAGAAAAACTACCCCAATTGACATTTCTCGTGCATATGGATAACATACCTGGAACTCGCATGGCACATGTATTACACATACATGTCACTCGTATGGGACATACAAGACCAAAACGTATGGTGACTTACATGTCTGTCACACATGGTACACACACTTTAAAACGAGGGGGCAATAACTCCGAATTCAAGTGTACACATGATTCCCGGAATCCATGATTCCCGTAGATTCCCATTGATTCCCGTCAAGATTCTCATTCATTTTCGTTGATTTCCGTCGTGATTCTCATTGATTCCCGCTGATTCCCGGCCCGGTGTGTACACATGATTCCCAGAGTAATTGCCCCCTCGCTTTAAAAGTTTCACGGGTTTGTAGTATTACTAAAAGTTTTCCTAGTACCGAAATTATAACACATACAAGGGAAAAGTTTGCAGTCTATGTGTGCGATGTTACTTTTCACATTAGTTGACGACCCCACACGGTTCATACTGGGAGGGGTTATGATACGGGTCCCGGCGTCAGGCCCAGACGGAATGTGTGTTGCAGAAGGCGACGGATGCTACTCAGAGCTACCCCCCGGTGCCCCTCTCCCCCCTCCCCTCTCTGCCGCCTCTCAGCGACGTGCCTGCGAGGCATTTAAAGACGGCGGCGGCATGGGCATGGCAGCAGCGGGGAGTGGCGTTGCGTGGCGGCGAGAGGCGATATATCGGCAGCGAGCAAAGCAGCACACCACACACGCCGACCGACACTTCCAAAATAGCGCATCCCGTGCTTAGTGCCAAGAAGGGAAACGAGGCTGGGATGTCGCGGGAATAGGTGGTACAGTGCTCGACCACGGATATTTGTGCGCGGTAAAAATAGTTTCTTGAATTTCAAGACCTTCTCTCAGATGCCATTGGCATTTTTCACAAGATCCAAGACCGGGTCTTGAAATACACACTGTTAAAATCCTTCGAAACAATGTTTTGCAATAATTGCTAAGTATTTTGATGCTTCGTAGTTACAAAGGACCAAAATCCTTCGCAATTGCAAAGCATTGCTTCATAGGATTTTAACAGTGCAAGAAACTTGTTTCACCGAGTGGTATTTGCGTTACGTTTTTCCTGAACTGTCCCATTAAACTGCTACGCAAACGTCGCAGCCAAACTTCCTGATTGCGTCGTCACAGTTAAAAACTTGCGGAGCAATATTCTTTTTGAAATTTTTCCACTACAAATTAATGCTTTGAAAAGTTACAAAGAATTAGTAAGCTTCGGAGTCATAGAAAGGATTTGTAAGCTTTGCAATAAAAATAATTTGCAAAGCACTGAGCTACTGCGATGCTTTGTATTACAAAGCCACCAAATGCTTCGCAACTTACAGACAAATTTTAATGTAAGGATTTAACATGGCGGCAATATCGATGTGACGGCGTAGCCATCGGGTTGTGTGAGGATGAATTACTCAAACGTCTCCACGACTTCACAGCTGAGGCTACGCCACGCCACGCCACGACCTATGACCCACATTCCACATCCACAAAGGAAAATCTCAAAGAAGTAAACTTTAGTAAGTAACAATGAATGAATTGATTTTGAAATCAACTGACAAGATTTACTTATAATACACACAGATGTCCTGCTCGTAATACGAAAAATGTATTCCTATTACAAGTTCTTTGCATACCGTATTATCTGCTCTGCAAAGCAGACTGTCGGATTTTCAGTTTGTTTGTACTATTATGAATAAATCTTCTTTGTATAGGTTCGAAATTCATCGAGAGTTACGAAGCTCTTCTTCGGAAGGCTTTTAAAATTCATCCAAACCCTGTTCCCACACACACACCTTAGCCGGATACGAGTTTGCGGTATTTCCGGGCATTTCCCTCCCGCCTCTACCCTCGTCAAAGAGCCGCCAAGGACTCAGAATTTCAGCCTGCTCTCGAACAATCTTTGTCTGTCTGTCTATCGGACTATCTCTCTCTCACACACACAAATCACAACACACACACACACACATATGCTCCCTGCAAACTACTGCAACACACGAAGCACCAAACTTCACTGAGGCAAGAGGGAGTGGGCGCGGGCCCGCTGAGAGGTACCCAAACCCGTTCTCAAACATAATTCAATTACCGGTAATCCAACAAACATTTCCGCCCTGCGGGTATCACTGCCCCCCCCCCCCTCCGGGTGATGAG